AGGTTTTATCGGTATTTGCGGTACTTTTGCAAAGATCAAGGCCCGCGGTGGGTCCATTGGGGGGGGGTGACCATATATATATATATATATATAACCAAGAAAAAGTATAGAATGTAAAATATGAATATATAGCCTAAATATAATTTAGCAATATATAATGTGCAGGGCGTCTAGATTTCAGGGAGGCAAGGACTGGCAAGAGTTCGGGGTGTACCTGGGCACAAGCTCCGATGTGGGCTGTGGGTCCGGTGCTGGACGCACGGTGCTTGAGGCGTCCGCATTCTCAAGGGCGGAAGCAGCTCCACGCTCGAATTCAGCATGCATTCCTTACCCTGAGGCCAGCATACATACCTTGACCTTGACGTGTTACAAGCCTGGCTCGAACCTTCGCACTTCGTGAAGCCATGTGTCATCATAGAGCAATCTGAAGAATTGATCGGCCATTCCTGAATGATTCGCGTAGCGGACGTAGCCCTTCTACTCGTGATCGCAAGTTGCAAAAGTTCGAGCGGTTGCAGTCTTCTGTGAATCGTTCTAATCCTATTGCTTTGGGCGGGCATTGACAAGAAGAGCTTTTCGATCCTCAACTTCCTTGACCGAGATTATAAAGTTGGCGTTGCCGTAAAGCTGCCCACTCCCGTTCGTGCAACTGAGCTTGCCATGGGATCTCTGCTCAGCAAAGTCGGCACACGCTCGACTCGAGCTCCTGTCAGGTGTTTCAACAGCGGACTCACCCTCCGGGGGAGCGGACAAGAACAGAGACCCATGAAAACTTGCACACGGCATCTCGTTCCAAGTCTGTGCAAACATCGAAGCCGGCGATGTGCGACCCTTGTACTCTCCAGCCCCGACGCAACGCCTCCTCCACAAGCCCTTGGTGGTCGCCATTCCGCACATCATTAAGGGCCTTCCGGCGGCCATCTTTCAAGGGAAACAGCCAGTCATCAGTCATCTGAGGTGCGACCCTGCCTGCTCGCTGGTGCCCTTTGCCTTTTGATATATTCTCGGGCTGTCAACAGTTGGAGCTTGTGTCAACAGTTCGCGGTAATTGGACCTTGGCACGTACAGACTAGACCAGGCACTTGGAGGAGTGGTGAGTTCATGACTTCATGCTTAATCCTTTATAATGCGGACTCTAGATGGGAGTGTGAGGATCTGTTTCAAGACTCATGTGAGCCCTACAGGCTCCTGCAGGACACTGAGCAAAAAAACAAACTTTCCTTGTTCACGTACGTGGGCGGTTCGGTTCTTCCGACTTCACGGACCCGAAAATCCTAAACCCTATAGCCTATAGCCCTAAACCCCAGAAACCCTAAATCGGTCCTGGATGCTATAAGAGGGCAGCTCCCATGGAATGCCGCTGGATGACCTCCCGGGTTTCTCCCAAGGCTTCGGCCCTCAGCTGACTACCCTGAGGCCTTCGAATCCCCACCCTAAACCCCAAACCCCAAACCCCAAACCCCAAACCCTAAACCCCAAACTCTCAAGGGCCTATACTGCAATATGAGGATTTCGTGTTGTTTCCCGGCCTCGCCCTGCGGGAGACAAGAAGGGAGACCAAAGCCCCAAACACTCCAACATCTTGAAGGCTTGCATGTGTAAGTATGGCAGATCGCGAAACTAGATTTCCGCTGCCCCTCATAAGAGCCTTTGAAGAAACAGCTGACTCAAGGGGTACTTGTACAGCATGAAGGGCTTTAATGCTCCACCTCGCAGTGGCGCAGCCGCATGACCCGGACATTCACATGCAGTCTACTTGACCGGGGACGGAGAATTTCCACAACCTTTAGTACGCTCAGAGCGAAGCCCTCAAAACCATGGAAGTCATGTAAATACCATCGCAATCGGACCAAGGGCGGATGCCTCTGTGACACCCGCGCCCCAAAGAGGAGCCTGAGAGCTCCCCACTGCACAAAAAGGCTATGAGTGTATAGAGACGACTGCGATTATGAGGCCCCTAAACCCTTGGACAATACCGACTAACAAGACCAGAAGATATCTGAAGAGATCTGAGAACCTTCTGCCCCGCAAGACTGAGGCTGGCAATGGAACCCGAGCTCTGCGGCCAGCGTGCGCGTGTGCGTGTTGCTTGCGTGCATGTTATTTTCGTGCTTGTTGTTTGTGTGCGTGTTGTTTGTTTGTGCGTGCGTTCTACTGTAGGGATGCTGGCGTGCGACGCAGAAGCCAGACCGCTCCAGCAAAAATCCGAGACATTCCGAGACCCTGGAGCTTCATCTTTGAGGCCCCAGCAATCTCGAATTTGCAACAGCCTCGGTACGTGCTATTGGGGATTTAGGCTTCGGAATATCATGCAGTTGGGGATTTAGCTGTCATGTTGTTCACTTACAGAGGTTTCTTAGAAGATATGCTGTCACCCTCCGAGCCAGCGAGTCAGCAAAGGTTATGAGAAACTGCAGCCCGCACCAAGAAATCGAACGGCCGATTGCTGGCGATCTCTAGGCTTCTTGTAGGGTAAGTCAACAACACCACTAGCAATTCGGGCGCCTGGACTAGACAATCTGCAGGAAATCTGCTAGCAATGAAGCAGGCGAGCCGCCTTGGACCAGCTCGCTATGGCTGTGGTGGTGACGACGGCGAAACTGAAAGTCCGCGTGTATAGATGCATATCTGTGCAGGCTGATGCAGTGCTGAGGGCAGTTCCCCTAGATATGTTCTTGCCTAGTGGCTCCTTACTGGTGGTCAAAGATATGCTAGTTCACCCGTGGCTTTGGGCCAACGATGACAGCGGCTGCGGTTTTGGCAGTTCGGGTTTGGGGTTTAATTAGGCTTGTCGGGTTTGGGCGTTAAACCGGTAAAGCCCGTTAGGCTTGAAGCTTGTGTAAGCTTAACATGTAGGGCTTAGGCTCCACCAGGCCCCCGCGCCAGAAGTCGGATACAGGAGCTAAATACAGAATATGCCCTGGCTGGTGGGCATGCCATACCCCATCAAGCAAGTGTCCTACGATAGTCGTCTGAAAGTTGCAGCTTTCCTTGCTTGGCGCTGTGCGCCGACAGTTCATGAAACATGCTAGCCATCTGCACCCGTTGCGGAGAGCCTAACCGATCCATGTAGGAGATCTACATCACATGCGCAGAGTGGACGTCACCAGAGTGGATACTGAAAGTTGCTTTAAACACAAGATGCCACACACCTTCAGCAGGACTCACCCCCCCCAAGAGACATCTGAGCTAAATTGCATCCCGGTTCACAAAACAGCCGCGGCACTAAAGCAACCAGGCGTGCCCCCCCCCCCCCGCCCCCCACCAAGTCCGGCTTGAATTTTCGACAGGGTCAACAGCGCCCGGGTCCGGAAGCGCCGGCTCATCCACGTCACCGGCCTGATGCAACGTTTTAGAAAAGGGCTACCTGAACATGCTGTGATCTGACAGTCTGACAGCACGCACATGGTCTGACAAAACCATTGGAAAACCATTGCAAGGCACAGCCGAGCTACCACTACAAAGTAGCTTTGATGCTGACGCCCCGCGTGAAAAAAAAGTGTCTCACATCAGCAGAAAGGCTGTGACTATGAAACGCTGGTTTGCTGCACTTACAATGCTGGGTGTCCCAAAACTCTTCCCAGAATGCTAAAACAAATAGCTCTCCTTGTATTCTTGTATTCCTAGTCAACTGAAGATACGTAGAACAAACCAATAAACAATGTGCCTGTAAGCGAAAACCTGGGCAAAAATGAGAGCTGCCACGCCCCACTTTGCTATTGAGGGCTGTCCTTTGTGTCCTTAGTCAAGATTAATTGTTGGTACTTGCTGATGGACAGCAAGCGCGTGAAATCAAGATGTCGCACCCTATAGCTTCCGGGCGCGAAGGACCCTCACGGGAGAAATGGCGTTCGTCGCCACGTTTGTAGTCTTTCGCGTTTACATGCGTCTACTTTCGCGAGCTTTCCCCGATGATTTGCGTGGCCGAACAGATGCTCATGATGTCCGGCGCCGAGGCTCGGGGCAAGCCAAGCTCACCCTCACGACGCTCGTCCAGTGCAGCACTCAGAGATGATGATGGGATGGGAGGCTGAAGGATTGCCCTGAAAATAGCAGACCCTTCCCAAAACCTGCTGCGATTTTGGGAAGGGTCCCTCCATCGAAAGGAGACGCGGGCAAACCCCTGGCTGCTCAAGGCCTCCAGCGTGGACCGTCCTTAATTCTGAGTGTGGGAGTTTTCTGCTCAGCCCTGCCCGATGCCCGATTTTCTGACCGACCCTGCCCGATTCGCGCGCGCTGAGCGCCCAACTACGAGGGCTTTCTGATCATGCGCAGCTGTGGTTCCAGCGCATATGAGGGAGAGGATTGAAGGGCCCCAATTTTTCGCTTATTGACCCAGACGAAGACCCACTTTTTCGCTGCGCTGAACTCTGATCCACACCGATCTTGAGGGGGGCTCATGCTTTTGGGATGCGGCATCTTAAATATTCCTCCAACTAAACGTCGTGGAGACTTCACACCCTGACTTCCTGTAGACTCTCCACTGAACCTCAGGCCGGGCTTGCCCCTTTAAAGGGAGAAGGTGGCTGGGTAAGTACCCGGCCAGCATGTAGCCCTCGTAGTGGAGGTGCTCCGCCTCCTCGCCCAATGATTTTGGGGCCTTTCCCGAATTAATGGCACACCCCGCCCTCTAAAAACATAGCTCGTGTGACATGGCAGCACACTTTTGCGCAGGGCACACTGGGAGTGAGAAGGATTGGCACGACTTGCGGAACGACTTCCGCACCTACCATCACCTACCCAGAAGCTGGCGCAGCGTCCTCCTCGCCTTGCAGCCACTGGATCGCCCCCACCCGAAAGGGCAGGCGGCGATGTGGCCAGCCGAGGCCCTGAGCGACAGGATACTTTTTCCTCCAGCTCTCTCCAGCCCCCCCCCCGCTTTCCCAGGCCTGCGCGTCCGCCAGCAAGAGGTCAATGAGCGGGGCCTCGAGCAGGCCAACGGCGAACCCCTAAACTTCTTTACGCTGCCTTCTGCGACTGAAACAGACTGAGACACGGTCCTGGCGCCGTTCGCGCGCTGACTCCCGCTCCTCGTCATCCTCCACCAACGCCGCCTGTGCCGATGCAGAAAAGGAAGCCCCACAGCACGCTTCCCATCGCTTCCCTACCCCACGCCCATCCACACCTGCACTGACCCGGCTTGCCGGCTGAAATGGACCCACAACGAACGCAGTATTGCAGATGTTGCTTTCAGCAAATCGTGTGCATGATTTTTATGGCAGAGACGCACTACTCCGTCTACCGTGAAACTTGCCAACTTGCCTACCCAAAGTCAACGTGGCTCCCTGAGATTCAGCCGTATGTACGACACGTGTTGTCAACAGCATTCCGATTTCCCCTGGCGTGAAACAACTCCTGACGCGCAAAGCTCTGGGCTCATGACTCATGGGGTTGTGACGGGTTGTGTGCCTCTGATCTGAAGACACCAGGCAACATCAGCAACGTAGTGAATCATTGAACGAAGTGAAACCGTGAACGCAATAATGCCGTGCGAAGAAGAGAAATTAATGCACGGCGGTAATATTAATACGCGCTAGTGAGGTGATAAGCCCGTGAATGAAGGTAATAATGGGATGTGAGGTTACGTTCAGAAAATTCCTGCGTCATGATTCTTTGTGTCGTTTACGCGGGCTATAATAATAAAAGATATGAATGTGCCCGCGATATTATAATTAAAGTGTAGAGAGCATATGAATTAACTTGCAAGGAAACGAAGAGAACGCGCGAAGTTAATGAATTTGCGAACGAAACCCCCATAGAATAGAATAATACTACTAATAGAGAACCAATAAACGCAAAGAAACAGATGATGACACGCCCATATGAATCCGTGAGCCAGACCACCTATACTATAATGACTTTTATCGCGGGGCAAAAGTCCACCTTCGATGCCTATCTTGAATGAGAACTCTTGCGGCCCCATAGGCACCTCCAGGACCGTACGCTGGGCGAGCGCATGCGCCTGCTCGAGAAGCTCGCCCGTGCAGGCCCATCCGGTGCCCACACCGATCTTGAATGAGAACACTCGGGGCTCGTGTTTTCGGGACGTGGGGTCTCGGCATCTATTCCCCCAACTAAACGTCGTGGAAATGTCAAACCCTGACCTCTTGTAAGGCGGCTGGGTAAGTTCCCGGCCAGCATGAAGCCCTCGTAGTGGAGCTGGTCCCCTTCCTCGCTCAATGATTTGGGGCCTTTCCCGAATTGGCACACCCCGCCCGCTGAAAACATACCTCGTGTGACATGGCAGCACACTTTTGCGCAGGGCACACTGGGAGTGAGAAGGATTGGCACGACTTGCGGAACGACTTCCGCACCTACCATCACCTACCCAGAAGCTGGTGCAGCGTCCTCCTCGCCTTGCAGCCACTGGATCGCCCCCACCCGAAAGGGCAGGCGGCGATATGGCCAGCCCGGCCCTGAGCGACAGAATACTTTTTCCTCCAGCTCTCTCCAGCCCACAGCTTTCCCAGGCCTGTGCATCCGCCACCAGGATGTCCGTCAGCGGGGCCTCGAGCAGGCCAACGACGAACCCCTAGACTTCTTTACGGTGCCTTCTGCGACTGAAACAGACTGAGACACGGTCCTGGCGGCGCTCGCGCGCGTCCTCCTCCTCCAACGCCGCCTGTGCCGATGCAGAAAAGGAAGCCCCACAGCACGTTTCCCTACCCCACCCACGCCCCACCCACACCTGCGCTCTATGGACCCGTAGCGACTGCCAGTGTAGCAGATGTTCTTTAACAAATCGTGATTCTGGCAGAGACGCAAAAGACTCCGACTCGGGGGGTTGTCGTTTACTTGCGAGGAACGTGTAAACTCTGCCAGCAAAAACAGTCATGGGTATCCTGGCCACAGCACGTCCGACCCAAGCTCAAATTCACCTGTCCACTGCTTTAGTCAAGCGGAACCTCAGGCATTTGAGGCACAGTCTCCAGTTCCGAATGATTACCAAACCCCGTGGAATCCTCACCTTACCCAGGACCCTCGAGCATTCTAGAACGGAGCTGGCACATACAAGGAGCATAAAACCGTATAACTCGACCAACTGTAGCAGATCCCCAACTCTCCATTACCCCCCAGCGCTGGCAATCATCCTCTAAGCGAAGCCCTCTTTGCCTCGGCTTTGGCTTGGCGCCGTTCGGCCTCTGTTCGTGCCTTGGCCTTGACATCAGCAATTGGGGCATCTGTTGAGGGTTCGATGGCTTGGGTGGCGCCGCTGGATTTATTGGCTCCATACTGTACGTCAAACATCCTTGTCCACCCAAAGCCGCTTTGACCCTCTCTCCTCTGTCCACCTCGGCGGCTTTCGTACTCTTCGGCAGTGTCCCCCCCGACCGGCACTACACTCAGCCATTCACTCCACTGCAATGTCAGACGCGACCCCACTGACACCGCGCCTCCTCCCCCAAGGCCCCCGGATGCCCACGCATGTCACCCACCACCCAAACACACTTCATTCCACTGCAATGACTGACGCGTCCCTTCCCCCAAGGCCCCCCGCAGCACACTCAGCACCCAAAAACAATTCATTCCACTGAAATGTCAGACGGGGAGGCCCCCCGCGCTACACGCACAACAATTCATTGACACTATCTGACGCGCCTGCTCCCCCAAGGCCCCCGCGCTACACTCATTGCCCAACAACAACTCAATTCATTCCATTGCAATGTCTGACGCCCCCCCCAAGGCGCACCGCACTACACTCAGCACCCAAGAACAAATTCATTCCTCTGCCATGACGGCCGCCTCCCCCAAGGTCCCCCGCATGTCACCCACCGCTCAAACACACTTCATTCCACTGGAACGCCTGACTCGTCCCCCAAAGGCCCCCGCAGTACACTCACCACCCAAAAACAATCATTCCACTGCAATGTCTGACGCGCTCCCTCCCCAAGGCCCCCGCACTACACTCAGCACCCAAAAACATTCTATACTGCCATGTCTGACGCGCCTTCACGCGCCCTCCCCCAAGAACAAATTATCATTCCACTGCAACTAGTTCCACCACAATGCCTTACGCACCCCCCTCCCCATTGAGCCAGAGCAAGAACAAGTCATTCTACTGCAATGTTTCTACTGCAATGATTGATGCACGCCCTTCCCGAAGCCTGCCGCGAAACACATTGAGCAGCACCAACACATTCATTCCGCGGCAATGTGTTTGCGCACCCCTCCTTCCCCTCCCAGCATTAGACACTCGAGAAACCGTTTATGCACTTGGCAGTGGCCTGCTTGGACAGTGCTCGCCCGGGTTTTGGCTGTTGGGGGCATTGCATGGCGGCATCATGTTGCCAATTATCATAGACATTGGCGGCTCCAGCATCTCCAGAAAAGCCCTGACTCCCAGCTCCAGCGTCGGCACCCAAAAACACATCCCCGGACCAGCGTGTTTTACATCCGACCCTCACCCCCACCCACCCCCCCTGCCCACACACACGACACACAGAACATGTCAGCACCACATTCAGCTCATTCCACCGTATTCCACCACATTGTACGCAGAACCTCAAGCCCCTTGTGCATTCCACTCAGTGCCAACAACGACAACAGGTCATTCCACCGTCTATCCTCTCGTTCCAGCGGCATGCGCATCTCCCCCCCCCCCCTAGGCACAGTACTCTCAGCACATCTCACCGTGATGTTTTACGTAGCACCTCCACCGACTCCACCGAGGTCTCCATTCGTTCCCACCACAATGTTTCACCACATGCCCAGGCACCCGGCGCGCTAGACGTAGCACCAAAAACAATGCATTCCCCGCATGCTTGGGAACTGCTGGGCCAGGCCCCACTCCTAACGGAGATAGAAACGAAGGAATCGCTGCGCTAGCTCTCGTGATTTCATCCAAAGAACATCTGGCACCCACGTCGAATCTGACCCTCCTCTCTTAAAACAGTCGTGTTATAATTCCTGGCCCTAAACCCTACATTCTAGACCCTAAACAACCCAACAAATTTGAGACTGGCCTGAGCCCGACGTTGAGGGAGGCTCAAACTTCTAGACTTTCAAGCTCTCTTGTTGGGTACGGTTTAGGGTTTTAGTGCTTAGGTTTAGGGTTTCTATATTCTTTAGGGTTTCGGGAAGTATCACACCTTCCGCACCGTTGAGGAATCCCCGTTGAGGGAAATCATACTACTGCAATGCAAGGAAGCTGGAAAAAAGGTTGCAGCTACTCGTGCAGAACCTGCCTCAAGGCAGAGACGATCTGCGGCAAGATCAAACCCTGCGGGCCCTAATCCCCCATCAGCACATCTTGGAATCCAATCCAAGCAGACCCTGATCCCCATCAAGACCAACCACAGCAATTCATGTGCCCCAGCCCCAAATTAAGCTGATGCATCCATGGTCATATCTCCCAGCCCATCGACCACTCAGCTTCGCACTGATGCCCGCGCTGGTGACCGGATTCCAGCCAGCCTCGGGCGCAGGTACACAACCTACTATTCATGTTCGTGAGTGGACATACGCAGGGGGTTGTGTGCACTCACCTGGCATCGTCATGAAAATCGAGACCTTCGACATGCGTACCCGCACTGTAGCCCATGTACCTGCCCTTTTTGGGCTACGAACCTTTGGAACATCCACCTATTGTTCGTCACAGGAAACAAAACAAATAGCACTCCTTGTATCTCTTGTCAACTGAAGATACGTACAGGAAACCAAAAAATCATGCATGAAGTTGTACTCGTGGCATCTGGGTCTCGAAACATGAGTTCTTGAGCACCAGATTTTGCTGCTGACAGAATCGAGCCTCAAGTGAAACATAGCTGAGCCCAAAACAGAATCCCATGAACCTATAAGCCACTAAGCATTCGCTGCCGCATCCCATGCATTTTGTTGCTGCTAGTAACTATGGTTGCCAATGTTTCAACATTCCCGAAGCTCAAAACCTGAGACTGCCGGGCTCCGGACCTCACGCCATGATCCTGAGAAGGCCAGGAAGACTCTGGCTTATTCTAACCAAAAGGAGGGAATGGAGTGGGGGAAGCTTCGAGCAGATTTTCGCGTCCATTGGCTAGCAACATTGTAGGTGTTCCCATGGCCAAGTTTAGGTGGCAGATACCGATCATTAGCCTGTAAAGGCTCCGCAGTACAAAGCTTTGCGTGCAAATTGCGGCCAAGGTGGCAATCGACGCGACATGTGCAGTGCAGACGTCAGACCGAACTCGGAAATACAGCATTGGCAGATACTCGCCTTAGCAGCCACAATTTCCCCAAGCCCCAAACCCCATCAAGGCTCACGACACGTACAAAGCCCCACCCTGCTTCGAAAGCAGCCCGGTCCTTCTGGGTTTGCATGGGCGCCGTAACCCTAAACCCTAAACCCTAATCCCTAACCCTAAACCAACCGCACAGCTCGCTGCTGAGAGCCGAAATGCGGACACGAGTCCCATATTGCAGTGCTCTTTGACCTGGGCCAGTTATGGCTAGGCTTGCCTCAGGATTTCTCAGGACTACTCTCATGATTGCCATGGCTGCTGCAGCTTCAGTCAGGACACCACCTGCGAGAAATAGTCCGGAGATGCCAAGACTGGCAGGGTGTTAGGGCCAGGTCCGGCGATGACCAAAAGGGGTGGACATCCAAGATGAAGTGCTAACAAAACAGAGCTGTTGGCACACCATGGCGTTATTCATTCTAAACTCCCATCCCAATGCTCCGATGAGCACGCCCCAAAGAATCGGGGAAGGCTTCAAAGCCTAGTTTGGCGGAGCCTTTGCCTTGGGACACTTTGGCCTTACGGCTGATGACATCAACTCCCAGTCACAAGACTATACATAGACTTCCCAAACATTGGGGCCGTGTCTCTCGCCGGCATGTTGTGCCGGCCGATGTCTATGCGTTATGAACCGTCCGGTCCTAAGAAAGTGCAGCCGCCAAGGCTAGCAACGCCAGCGAACGTGAAGCGGCTGTCCCCGCCCGTAAAAAGCATCTGCAGCAAGGCATCACTCAAAATCAACCGACGGACCCTGTGGGCATGCAGCGACCTTTTCTCTTCGCATGATTTGCCGAGCTCACCTGCACTCTCTTGCCCCGAAGCATCCTACTCCACGTCTACCTGTCTGCAGCATTCTGCAGTGGGGCTGGTTCCCAACCGGGACCGTGTACTCAGTACCGTAAGCTTCGCAGACTGTTGCTGTTCACGCCCCGCGCGCAGGCCTGCTTCATGACTGCGCGGCTGCCCAATCGCAGCGGGCAGTTCCAGGGTCTCAGTGTGAAGTCCCCCTTCTCAGGCTTTGTGGACAGTGTATTGATTGAACAAAGTCTTAAAAACCATCAGGGGAATATGGGGAGTTGAAGGATTCAGCCCCATGTTGAGAGACACCGAAGAGTTATGCTGGCAGTCGCGCCCCGCAAGCAGTTGAACCAAGGGGGGCTGGGAAAGTGTGTCCAAGTTTTGGGCCGAATGGAACTGCCTGCCTGCGCTTGATCGTCCTTCCATGCCGCCATCGCCACTTTGTTGGATGGCCTTTAATAGCTGTCGGAGCCGGTCGAGGCAACGTCCGTGCCCAAACCCGCTGCAATGGGACTGTTGTAGCAAAGTCGACGGATCACCTCACACTCCCTAACCCTAAACCCTAAACCCTAAATTCAAACCCTGAACCCTAAACCCCAAACCCTCGACAATTTTTTTTAACCCGGGCTCTCTGAGGTGCCGGCACTGGAGAAGAAGCATCACTAGACCCTAAACTGCCCTAAACCCTAAACCCTAAACACTAAACCCTAAACCCTAAACCCTATCATCATGAAGTGTCCAGTTTCGGACTTGCAGCGCTGCATCGGCCACAGCCCCGAGGAAGTCTCTGCAAGCATCTTGAATTGCCAGTGCAACGGCTCCCCTCTCCAACCCCTGAAGCATATGGGCATTTTTTTGGGTTTAGGGTTTAGGGTTTAGGGTTTTAGGCATTTCCCAAAATAGGGGTACATACCCTGTCTAACCCAAATTGAAAAGAATTCCTTGAAAGGGAACCCCCAAAAAGGGCCAAGTAGAAGAGAGTCCGCTTAAAGGGTACCCCCTGTTTTCGGAAACCCCCATATCTCAAACATTGTCGGAACCATCTGGAATGCTACAGCATGCTGCCGCTACGGCATACTGCCCCTAACACATCCTCCGGCATTATCTCCTAAACATTGCAAAAGGGGCTGTAGGTTTAAAATTGGGGGATGGGAACTCCATAGATCTACTACCTTGTCAGCGATGGAACTGGCGCAGCATTTGATTACAGCTGGCAACTCTGGGCCTCAGTCTTCGAGGGAGCCGGCACTGCAAAACGATGCTTGCGCGTGGTATTGCAACGTAGCCTCGTGACGCTGCGGGAGGGAAATGCGATCGAAAGATGTCTGGCACAAAGCTTCGTGGAGGCTCCGGCTACTGTGCTGCCGTAAGCTCGAAGACTTCTGTGTCAGCTATATACAAAACATCCAAAACCAGTATAATTAGTTGCGCCGTTGTAATTGCCCGGGTACTGCGCACGACTAGCCAGAGAGCCTCTGCGCGAAAGCTGAGACCAACCTGATTCATGGTGGGCAGCGGCACCAGAGGGTGTGGCCTTTTGAAGGTGCTCTCGCCTTCCTAACTATAAAGATAAACCTCTCCACCCTAAGAGAAAGCAAGCCATAGCGAGCCTACATAGAGGGAGCTGGTACCAATTTACCAATATGCATGCTTTAGCTCTTTCAGTCACTGTGCAGCTGCCCCCAGTCAGGAGGGTGCAAAGAGGCTTCAAGGCTTTGGAGGGTTGATGTAGCGCTCAGCCTGTTTAGGTTACAGTATATGTGCTCCAATTTTCCCCTTCCTACACAGGCAAACCAGAAGCCTATAGAAGCTGCCTATAGAAGCTGCGCCAAGTTCCTTTTTTTAGCTGCAGGAACTCTTCAGAAGTCGTAGGCAAGATCATGCTGCCCGTTGATTGGCGAAGTGCGGTCGACTCGAAGCCTCCTCAAGCCTTGAGACCATTCGCTTGCGCACGGGGCGCTCGCTGCCAAACATTGCAAGCCCTTGTGGCTTCCCAGCTGGGCGGAGGGGCCTCAGGGCTGGAAGAGCAAGTGCTACGTGATCTGGAGGCAGAGTTGCCGGGTCCGGACTCTACTCTGCGACACAGGGGCGTGCAGGAGCTCAACACGATGAATGAGCGGAAGAAAACCATGTCAGCCTCTAGCCGAAACCCGAAACCTCAGCGCGCGGCAGCCGCTAGGGGCGCCAGTTCGCCACGGCTGCCGTCCTGCAAACAGCGCGGAACAGCCTCGGAAGGCGCTGACAAGTGGCTTTTTGGTATGAGGGCTGACTATGCCCTTGGGCCAATGCACTCCTACATATGTGCTGGGATGCTTTGGGTTACCTTGGGCTGGGCTTGAAAGTACCTTCGGCATGCACAGTCCGCGAAAGCTGTGTTGCTAGCAATGCACGTCCTGGAATCCTCTTTGTACATTCTGACACGAACGAGTGCGAGCCGCAAAGCTCCAATGCACTGTGCTGCTCCCGAGTCAGCGTACACTGCCGCTTGCTTAAGCTGACTTTGCCCGCGAGTGTTTCACTACACCTGCGTCGCTCTGAGGTCCAACAAGCCTGCCGGTATCCGAACCCTTTTTCTGCACAACTGCTGACGAAAGCTCTAGACTCTAGACCTTAACAAGGGCCCTTCATAGCCCTAAACCCTAAACCCTAAACCCTAAACCCTAAACCAGGGTTGGTTAGGGGGATTGTAAGGCCTAATAGCCCATGCTGGGATGAGGATCCAGGGCCCCCACCCGAGTCGCGAGCCCACGTGGCAGGGGATGCGATCCGCAACCCAAGACCCCGCACCGCGAGAGGTTTTCTTTTCAGAGCTTTAAGGGGCTGCATGGGAGTCGAACCTAAATTATAGACTTGTGGGTGCTATAGACATCTGTGGGAGGTGGGAGGGGGTTGCGGATCCCGGAACCATCCGAACTGCCAGAGGCAATCCTCACATGTCCGGCATTTCCGGATGGTACTTTTTGATTTCCTGCGCGCGCACAAGGCTTCTCAAGGTGAGGGCAGTTGAGGGACGGAAGGGGGGATGTCGGGATGCTTGGACTGTGACTGCTTTGGACAGGGAGCGGCTCATGTTCAGGGTGGGGTCTCAGAGCTCAAGGGTTGCAGCCTTCAAGTTCGCAGTTCATAGACAGTCTACACAGAGGCGGGAAGCACCGCACCCGAAGACTTCGAAACTTAGCTTGCCCCACACGTGTCCCCCGAGTAGGGACGTGTAAGGACTACGGCACGGACACCCAGCCGCAATTGAGGCGTTGGTGCTGAATTCCAAGAAGCAAGGGGGCGCCACAGCGACCCACTCCCGATATGTAGGGTTTAGGGTTTAGGGCAGGGGTTTAGGGTTTAGGGTTTATTAGGGTTTAGGGTTAACCCGAGCCTTGCAAAAGTACTTCCTGAGGAGCTTTTCGTCCAGGTCAGGCTCCTGTAGGTCAGGGCTTGGGGGTGCGGAGGACCCTTTGTGACTTAGGGTTTAGGGTTTAGGGTTCAGGCTGCGTAAGGGCATTCGGGGGGGGGGGGGGGGGAGTTTGGGGACTTGATAAGGATTGCTCATATAGAGGGCGCAAATGGTAGATCATGCGCCTGGCACCCTTGCACTGAGCGCCGCATGCCTAGTATTAATACAGGGCTATGCAAGGTGGGCCTTTTCGAATTCCAGCGTCACGTACTTCGGTGCCGACCTCGGCATGCAGTAAATCATAGTCTGCAATCCGCTGAAGTCGTGTGGTTCTTGGGGCCCGGGTTGAGAAATCCTTGCGGGATGTTGACAGCTTCGCGTTGCCACCCCCACATGGGCCCGGCATTTGCAAACAGGGGATCCTGACTCAGCTCAGCATCTGATGCCTTTGAAAGACTTTGTAAAGACAGTCTCGAAGCAACTCTGGCCCTCCCAAAAAACCGAGTCCTTTCCTACCCTTTCCAGCTGAGGCAAAGTCGTTTCCCTTGAGGGGTCGCGGATGACATTGGGCCCCGAGGTGAACAACCTGCGGACTGGTCCACACACTGACAGGCCTACATCACAGAATGTCGCAGACACAAACCCTGCTAACCTTGACAAGTCTTGAAAGGTGCCCCCCCCCCCCCCCCGCCTATGCTCCAAGGCTTCAGTCACTGCAATGCGGTCCTGCAAGGGTCTTGCTTCCACTTCAAGACAACATGCGAGCACTAACAGTTTAACAGAATGCGACTCCATGTTTCTGATCGCAGAAGGAGAGAGGGTCGCAGCCATGCCCAACTTGCATGGAACTTACTTGGGCTTGTTTTGTGGGGGCGGGAGGGGGGGGGGGGGGGGGGGAAAAAATGCTCCCCAGCAAGCTAGCTGCTGGGGCAGGCACGAAGCCTTCGCGAAGAATTGTGGTCACTCTTGCCCACCCCCCCCCCCCCCCAACACGCAACGCAGGAATTCACAGCTTTCACCCGGAGGCTCCGAAGCCAAGAGCCAAGGAAATCACGCGGAGACTTCACGGTTCTGCACACCGCTTTTGCGGAGACTCGCTCAAAACCCACACTCCCCCCCCCCCCGACAAAAAAAGAAGACACCCACCCCTAAACCCTAAACCCTCAATGACTCAACCCTCAACCCTAAACCCTAAACCAAATGAAGCCTGTAAACCCTAAGCAATCTTTGGTCCTTGGGGTTGAACCGCAGCATTCGATTCAGGATGTCGATGGAGTCCGCCTGTTGCGTGGATTTTGATGCATGGGGACGCTCCTGTTGTACTGCCATGTACTACCTGTAACCCCAATTACCTACAGTTTTATGGGTTGCACCTATGCCTATTCATCAAAGGGTAGCTACTACTAAACTGTAGGCAATTGGGGTTGCAGGCAAACTCCAACAAAACGACGTACTAAGCAAGGTCCTGAACCTAACGAACCCTCACAGAGTCCCAACGCCCCCAGCCGCCTCCACCCCGGGGAACTTCACGCCCAAGCCCTCGCCGTCGCGCCTGGGACTTGTGGAGTTGGCGGGCTTCTTCGGAGCTTTAGTATGTTGCAAGGGGTTAGGCTTTGAGTGTCGGTACGGGGGCTATGACTACTGGCCTATGGGCTTTGGGATCATATGTGTTGGCCCACCACTTCTCACGAGGTTTCACCCATCATGGCTCGGCAGGGGTGATATTCCTTTACCGGTCGCATCTTTGCTGTCCTTTTTTCGATCCTGCTGGTTTTCTGTGAACTTCAGCTGCGCGGATCCCACACACATGCACACAAACACGAGTTTGCTGGGCTCCGTGCGCTGCAAAGCAGCGAATGTACCTGCAAATTCCACGGGGCTTGCTTCGTGATTCTCAAGACCGTTTCAACTCCAACTGCTCGCTCCGTGCCGGTGGTCTAAAGGTCCGTACTTCAGAAATGTGTTTCGATGCCTCTTTTCCTCAACGGGCCTGAATGACATCCAGTGAACCGACTTCGAGTTCATCTGGCATGAGTGAGTTGAGCGCGAAACTTCATCGGCCTCTTTGCATCTTCTCGCTCCAGCTGATCGACGTCCGGCTCCCCTGGCGTTCCTGCGGAGCAACTGGGAAGCTTCTCTGCTCAGGGATGGCTGGGGCCTCATGGAGCCCGAGCTGTACGATGGTGGCAGGAATAGGTGCCAATCTCTGCTATGCTCTTCGTGCTCAGTGGTAGGCACAACTTCAATCACACCTGTGTTCAAGGCCCGAGCCAAGGAGGTTAAAGATCATGTTCAGCTGGTCATGCTTCCCTCGCCTTGAGCAGGGGGGTGGCAAGCCGAGGCGGCTGCGGATGAAGGACGTTGATGATGGGAGGAAGCTTTTCAGAAGCAAGTCTCAGGAACGGCGACGGAAATTGATTCTGAGTTGAAGTGACGGACACAGCTTTGGGGTATGAGGGCTTGTGCACGGAGGGAACACAAGGCATGCAACATCCTCCTAATTACTCTTCCGCGAGATGCTTTCAAGACGAGCACGAATGCAGGTGGAGCAGCGGCTGGGCGCCGGGCGTGTGATACTTGTAGTCCGTCCTTGGCTTCAAGGCCGTGGGAGTAACAAAGCGGATGCCACAGCCCAAGACTTCAAGAAAAAATGCAGCCAGCCAAGCTGACACTCAACATGAATAGGAAGGTTGCCAACAACTTCCGATCCATTCCCGACTCGGCGACCCGGAACCTTGAACTCAGAGCACTTGGGACTTTATGTACCTGGAGTTTAGCAATAGCCCTGAATTAGTATGCATAACCTATAAAAATTGCAGGTAAAGAAGGTCCCAGCTATCCTCTGCTTCCAGGGCACTTGTGTTTGTGATCTGGCGACAGCGGGAAGCAGGAGGATCCCGGGAACAGTGGCCCTCGATCCTTGCAGCCCAGCTTGAGCTTCAAGTTTAGGGCTTCGACTTTCGCACTCGCTGAAGCAGGCAAGGTTTAAGGCTTAAGGCTTAAGGCTTAAGGCTTAAGGTTTAGGGTTTAGGGTTTAGGGTTTGGGGTTTGGGGTTTAGGGTTTGGGGTTTGTTTAGGGTTTGGGGTTTAGGGGTTTAGGGTTTTTTTTGGCACCCGCATAGCTGGTCGACACTCCACGCCCCGTTCAAACCCAAAGAAGTCAACCCACGTGTCCCTGCGCACGACTGCGGGGTTTAGGGCTTAGGTTCTGGATGATGGTTTACAAGGGCCAGTGGCAGGCATGGCCCAGAAGAAGATACCCACCAAATCCATCATCATGAATATAGCCCCCCCGCCCACTCAAACCCTAAACCCCCCTCAAAAAAGGGCGCCACTCGGTAGGGAAACCCTCCTTCCACATGGTCGGGTCCTGCGTCCGCGTGCCTTCGAGCATGCCAAGGAGCTCGGCCTGGGGCCCAGAGAAGTCCGGGGGCTTCAGGGTTTCTTATCTAGGGTTCATAGGGTTTAGGGTTTAGGGTTTGGGGTTTGGGGTTTAGGGCTTAGGGTTTGGCTTGCCTTATAGCTGCAGTACCCCAAAGATAAGTCCCGCTGATTCTCTTGTTGCCAAGAGGGGCTGACCGGTGTCGCTCTCCAGGGTTGACATACGGCTAGATGGGTTTAGAGTTCAGACTCTGAGGCTTTACCTATACATACCCTAAAACCGTCAAACCTAAGAAACCCTTGCAGTCAAGGTTGGTCAAAAGCATCTTCCTCAGATTCCTGAAACGGCCATAGCGACAGCCCGGAGGATGAGCTTCCGGGCGTAGATGCAGCCAACCGACCAGATGTCAATGGCCTCCCACAAAACTCAGAGCTAGAAGGGAATGAAGAGAGAGCCAGAGCAGCGTGACCCGTCTTTCGAATTGGACTTCCAAGATCGGTAGGGAACGACGATCTCGCTCATGATGCTTCTTGTTCTACTCTAGCTCTTACGACGGCGGGAATTCCAAGGCATGGGGCTGCTAACATGCTAAGTTGAAAGTCGAGCCCCAATGAAACTGTTCGAGCCAAGGGGCCTCCGTGTAGTTCTCCTGGAGCAAGATCAGCTCTGGGGCTCGGTACCACCTGGGCAGGTGGAGGTTGCTTCTCAAGGGATAGCTGCCACAATTTAAACGACAATGCCCCAAGGTATCCCGACATCCCTGAACGTCTGAAACCCTCGAAGAACTCAACATACTCAACCCCAAGTCCTCCCCCCCAACACCCTAAACCCTAAACATTGAATCCCCCGGTAAGGGCGAGGCCTGGTTACCACGTGGCCGGTGAGGTTCCTGTGGGCCCAGTGGCGCAAGGACAAGCTCCGGTGGGGCGGAGCTCCATGCTCTACTTGTAACCCCAATTAGCTACAGTGTATGGGTTATCCTCATGAAGTGAAGGGAAATTCCTACTAAACTGTATCAAGCTGGGGTTGGAGGTACATCTTTGGCTGCTGCCCTTGTTGCCACACTCACTCCAAGGCAGTCAAGAGCGTTGCGGGGCTGAGTGGTTGGGGTGTTTCAGGGGTGGTTCATGGGCCACTGAATTCTGAACCGGCACTTTGAACCACATCCATCTCTTGATCCTGTTCTTAGCTCAGGCGTAATGGCCAGGCCTCTTCAGACGCTGAGTGTGGGGCACCCCGGGCACTGCCTCAGCGTGGAACTCTGGGATCCGAGAGCAGAAAGGTCTGTTGACATGAAACCCTTCAACGAAAAAAGGAACGACAGAGCCACCCTTGTCAAACCACTCCAGGTGTGCCCTTCTGTCGTTCAGGGCGCGATCATTGCTTAGAAGTCTGTGCCCCCAAGCGGCTTATATATGCTTGCACATGTATAAATATATATATATATATATATATATATATATATAACTCTGAAGCCTCAGGGCCCGGCGTCATGATCACCTTCACCGCGCGGCCTGGAGCTCAGAGTTGTTACAAGTTCTTGGGCTGAGTTTAGCAGCAGCTGTGTTTTTGGCCGCCTGCCCATCTGACACTCGGACGCACTGAACGCCCGGTTTGACGCACGAAAGATCGAAACACGGACATGCCGGCATTGCTCGCAGCGTGGCCTGCCGTCCTAAGACCTCAACCCTGTCTAAAGCCCAAAGCCTGCCGACCCCCAACACACTCCAAAACCCTTAACCCTCAACCCGGACAAACGCTTGCCTCACTCAACTTGCACACTCAGGCGCTAGCAGCCAAATCCTCTTAAGCCACTGCTTCACTTGTGCACTTGCACTGTCCGAGAGGCTCGTTCGCCTAATTGCTAGTATTGAAGCGCCTCTTTGTAGCATTTTAGTGTCAGCCTTTTGTGGAATCGCAGAGCCTACTTCAGCGCGACTGAAGCAAATCCCGAATCTCCAAACCTCAAGGCCTTGCAAGAGTGTCGGCTCACACTGAGTCGGTGACGTATTCGGGAGCCTGGGCGCGGGTGTCTTGAGGACGGGAGGCTAGAACTCTGATAGGGTTCCGAGACGAAACATGTGCACATCTACACAACAAAACACATGCCGAGTGAAAAGTGTCAATCGGAAGTTCGCCTGGAAACCTGACAACCCGGGATGTGAAGCCTCTCTGCATGATCTGCCAGCCCTGATCCCTGCTTGAAACAACTTGTTCAAGCCCAATGGTAGAGGTCTCAGATTTAAGATTCAAAGCAGGGCTGAGGGTTGCGCTTGCACCCTGCGCCTAATTATATGGGAGTCGGAACAATTACTCATAGCATTCCCTTGTTGTCCCTTTATAACTATACTACAAGAACCCCCCCACAGCCCTGTTGACAATTCTTAAGGCCCCTAGAGTCTCTCCCGGTAAGGCCCGGGCGCGTGCAGGTGCGGCTGCTCGGCGGCCTCGATGGCTCGGCTCAGCCCAAAGTCGCAGATCTTGACGGAGCAGTCCTATGCCAGCGGGACCGATGCCTTTCTTGCAACCAGGTCTCTTGCCAAATTCTAAAGCCCCCCAACATCCCCAAACCCCTAAACCCGATAAGCCCCGTTTGAACCAAGAAACCACAAGCTCCAGGCTTTCTACCTGCGTAGAAACGTGTTCACAAGTCCTGGTTGACGAGGCAATTGGCCTCAGTATGGAAGCATTCACGGCGACTTCAAAGCAACATACCACGGCACGAGCAACAGAATATCCTAACCATCTCAATCATGGAGCAAGGTGAGGCGTCACACCTTACTCTTCAGCACCTGCAACCTCGTCGGTGCAACGGTGTAGTAGGGGCGGGATCTTTCGCAAGGCATCATGGGGCACTATACAACCTTCGCGCCCCCGAGGACTTCCTTCCTTGCGAATCGGTCCAAACCCTCAAAGACTCTTCCCCCTCCAAGCCCCCCAAACAACCCACGGCGTATGTATTAAGTGCCCAAAACCCTGTAATCCCAAAAACCCGACCTACACACTTCAGGGCCCGCTGCCGGCTTCAGGTCTCGGTGGTAGATCCCGGCCTTGGCCGCGCCAAACATTTCTTCTGCAAGGGGGGCTATAGGGGCTATACTAGGTTCATAGGCCTGGCCTTCCTTTTAGGGTTTAGGGTTTAGGGTTTAGGGTTTCTGGGTAAGACTTCTTTTGCAACTTTGCAAGAGTGTTTTTGGGCTTAGCATGAGGTAAACAGGGGCGGCTTTTGAGCTGAGAGTGGGTAAACGGCTTCAGCTTGTGCGGGCACTTTTAGAGTTTCGCGAGGGCATATTGCGTCGCGTGATGTCCTTGGGGCGTGATTCAGCAATAGCGACGCTGCGCTGCCATCCCTGCCGTTTGCGTGACTCCCATGTTTTGGCCTTCCTCTGGCCCGCTGCCTTCATGCAGCCTCCTTTAACGAAGGAATTCAGCCCCTACGTGCCTCCTGCGATTGTCGGACTCGAACCCCGGGTGTGCCAAGCTCGCGCGAGCAATGGCATCGGAAGGTGCTGGGCCCTGGGCGGAGTGCAGGTACTTGAGCCCAACCAGCAAGTTGTAGAGTAACGTGTTGATGTGGAGCGGTGTCAGCGTCACGTCCTGGCGCCCGAGAGTTCTGGAGCCGACTAGATCCCAGCCCATTTAACCTAGGATGGCCCGTAAAACCCTCTGAAAAAGACTCCTAAGCATGGCCCTCTTTACACCCCCAATAAGGGGAAACTAGAAACATTCCGAGTAACCCTCAACCCTTTTTACATCCAGGCCTCGTGACAAATGCCGGGTAAGCAGCCCTAACCCCTAAACCGCCCAAGTGCTCTCCCCTCGGCAGGAAGTCCGTACGGCACAGCTTCTTCAAGTCGGAGTCACAAATCTCCATTACCATGTAGAGCTCGTCGAACCTGGCAGGCTCAGTCTCAGAATCCTCTTACTCTAAACCCTATACAGGGCATCCAGCGTTTGTTCTGGGACTTTGGGGCAGTTCTGCACTTCCAGACTCCCCCAAAGTCTGCAGTTTAGGATTTGGTCTCCTGGCCTGAGCATGGAAGACGCTTCTCCAAAGCATGCTCTGCTTCAGGCTCATTCGCCACTTAAAGCCCTTAAGGACGTGCGTAGCAGGTGTACTGATTCGGCACCTGGCATTGCGGGTGCCTGCAGGTCTGCCTGACATGGACCATTATAGTGCCCGTACTCGACACCCAACTAAACGATATCCCAAGTGCAGGTCAAGAAGGGATAGTGACCCGTAACTAGTAACCCTAAACCCTAAACGTCAAACCCTAAACCCTAAACCCTAAACCCTAAACCCTAAACCCTAAACCCTAAACAGCAACAGGCCGGCGCGACGTGTGAATGTTGCTGGGGGCGACCTGGGCTCCCAAGGCTACCACCAGCAAATCGCGGAAGACTTGCACGGGTGATGACTCGCTCGAACTCAGCCGCATGTTCAGGGCATCATCACAACATACAGCAGAGAAAAGGTAGGCAAAGGTAGGCTGGGTCCGGCACGATATCGTAGATCTGCACCTCGGCCATGCAGCATTCAGAATACGCGGGCGGTCAAGCGACACTGCAGGTCTCGGAGCCTTCCCTCCCCCCCCCCCCCAAAAAAAAGGCTCCTTGCACTTGACCCTAAAGCTCAGGACAGAAGCACACAGTCTCACAGCAACAACGGCCCGAGCGAACCTTTCAGGGTCCAGTCGACATCCTCAAATCTCAGGTCCCAGATTCTGATGTTTTGGGACATTTGGGTGTGGGAGCTCCGGGATGAGCCCTCTCTTTGGTATGCGTGGGCCCCGGCAATGTTCTCGTGCTCCAACTTGGAAAGGATCGCGATCTCGCGCAGAATTCGCCTGGTGCTGACATGTTGCTCAATAGAGCCTCACAGCAAATGCCTCACTGCAACTGCAAGTAGTCTGCAAGCCGGAGATGCGGATGTCAGGTGGATTTCCGTGGCTTTGAAATTGGCAGCACCCATGTGCAGGTGCCATGGGCTGCTGAGAAGAAGCAACCACATATGGCCATACTTTGATTTCTACCCGGCTCGTCACGATGAAGAGTGCAAGAATCCGCAGTTGTGCAGATTTTTGACTATTAAAAAGTGTCTTGTAGGTCCAAACCCCTTAGCCACGTCGGGCTTGCAGCCGCCGGCCGCTACTACACACGCTGGTCCCTGTGGGTCTGCGCCCCCAGCAGGCCGACCCGAAAGACCCGAGATGATTTGCCATCGTTCGTACCAGAGGGCTTCTATGCAATTACCTACCTGGCCAGTGCAATATAGAGAAACCAACGGTAGGGCATGCCACCCAACGGCACACCAAGAACGCTCCAACTTCTACGTGCGGCCAGTGAAGCAGCCTGTCGTGTTTGATCTGGAGGTGTGCTGGCTTACTCGTGACGAGTGGAGGGGACATTTGTAGGGGACCCGCTGTTACACCCTCAACTACTCAAACCCTGTTTGTAGAAACCCCAGAAAGCCAGTCATCTTAGGGTAGTTACATGGTCCCTTAATATGGCCCTTGAACTGGGACCGCTTATGTACCGCTTATATACCCTATGCAACCCAAGCCCTGTAAAGGCAAGACCCACTGACTCGGGGAATCCTCACAGCTCCCCCGAGGCCGAAACTTGCAGTCGATGAGGTCTTCGAACATGTGCGCAATCCTACCAGGGTTTGGGGTTTAGGGTTTAGGGTTTGGGGTTTAGGGTTTAGGGTTTAGGAAGCTGGGGGTTGAACTCCCATGTTCTTTGCAACTCTGGTGCAGGCCGTGATGTGTAAGTCCACTTGTTCTGAGGCTAGAAGCCAGCAACTCTCACAGACTGCTGCCACATTGAACCTGAAAGATAAAAGCTCGCCACACTTGCTGGCCCGCTGCAGCTGCGTGGGTGGAGGTTCTTCGTTTAATTCAGCATTTTGATGTCTCTAGGCTTCGTGGATTGAGGTCGCTAAAAATGCCATGTCATTAGACTCATTAGACCGCACACCACCCTCTGACAATGGCTTGTACTTCAGGATGGCAAAACTAGTTCAGACACAGGTCCCCATGGTCAAGGGAGCCTCTTGATTGCCACGAGCCGCTTCTTGTTGGTGTCGAAGGCCTGTTTGGAGGTGGATGCGACAAACCCTTAAATCGATCGAAATCTTGTCCATGAGCACTAGGCTGGCATCAATCCACTACACGCCTGCCATCTCCACCCCAGATAGTGTCGTCACAAGGGGCAGTCATTCTCAGTAGTAGCTGCTTGTCTTTCACTCAGGCCCTCGGCTTCCCCCCGTGCAGATGCCCTCTATCACCCAACGAGCTGTCTCGGTGCTTCAGGGGGTTCATGGGCTTAGGGTTTAGGGTTTGGGGTTTGGGGTTTAGGGTTTGGGTTGCTCTTTCCGGCTTCGGGTGGACACCCTGTCCCGCACCGGGAAAGCCTCGCAGACGCTTCCGTAGGAGCCTGTACCGATGAGCTGCTTGACCTCCCGGCTTTGCATGATTTGCATGGGCGTGGAGGAAAACGTCAGGGTTTAGGGTTTAGGGCCGTTTAGGGTTTAGGGTTTAGGGTCAGCCAACTTCGAGTGCTCAAGGGTTGTGTGACCTCAGGTCCCAGGTTCAGCGCCACAGTGGGCTTGAGGTTTGCACACGCCCGACTCCAAAAGAGACAACCGCTGCCCTGAGCCGAGGCCCCGAAGCTCTATGCAGATTTCTGGCCCAGCATGACGTATACCCAAGCCCCGATGGATCCCGCACCCCGAAGCCGTCTTGTCAGAAAACCCATGTTCATATAAGCCCCTGCAGACCCTACAAGTTAATAAGCCCGACCCTAAACCCTAAACCCTAAACCCTAAAACCTAAACCCGAAACCCTAAACCCTTTCTTCTTGCGCCTCATAGTTGGGTGGGATCTTCCATCGATCCCCTGGGCCCTTCGGGATGCTTGGCCCAGACCTCAAGGGGGAGGACGGGGAGGGCGGGGGGGGGTTTAGGGTTTAGGGTTCAGGGTTCAGGGTTTAGGGTTTATCGACTCTCACACCAGCGCACGCGCAGGCAAGGCTTCGGAGGTCCTCGTGTCGTTATGCTACAAAACACATTAATCGGAGGCAGCTCACGTTGCACTAGCACCGCCCTAAACCCTCTCTGCATCCGGACTCCCGTGGGAGCTGCCAGAAACTGCCCAAGCACAGGCTCCCAGTGCTACTGACTGGATTCCCATACTCTAGCAAGCCAATCATCAGGCCCTAAACCCTAAACCCTAAACCCTGAACCCTGAACCCTAAACCCTAACCTAAACCCTAAACCCTAAGGCTAGGGTCGGTCTTCCCTTGAAGCAGGATGACTAACAGTATACACCGAACAAACCTCAGGAACTCCCAACCCTGCCCGGAAACAAAGGGGCGCACGTCCACGTGAAACTTTCTTTTGCATCCAAGTCACACGTGCCATAGAATGGAAAACGAGCGTCTCGGGTTAAAAGCGCCAGTACAGTCTGTATCGTGCCGTGAACGCCGGAACAGGGCATTGTGCCCAAGCACAGGGCGGAGGTCTCTCTCACGGGTTGTCCTGAGAGCCTCCATCCAAAGCGGCGATGTGAGGGACGGTCTCAAGAAGAGCTCCCGAAATGAATGCACTGAGGGAAATGCGGCCCTATACATATATATGTATACCCTTTCAGGGGTTATTCTGAATCTTGTCGTGCAGATCTCGGGTATGTCGGACTTGAGAGCCGCCAGGAAGCACGTTGAACTGCACTGAGCACGCCGCATGCCTTCGCAGTTCGCGGAAGCACGCCGCAAGGAATGATGGTCTCCAACCATACAGTCACAGTCAGGGGCTGCAAGCATGGCCAAGCGGCAGGGCTTCTTTACTCTCCCCACTACTCCCCACTACTCCCTGAGGAGCCTTTTTGGCTTCCCTCCGAAAGGACCCTAAACGTTCAGGAGGCTTAGGAGACTAACATCGCGTGCTTACGCTCCGAACACCCTTGCCATCAGCCAGGACTCGTGCCCCGAAATTCGATTATGGGTTGACAAAAATGTAACAGCCCATACATGCTGCCTATCATCGGCTCAGGTCGCCATTACCAGCGATGGTCCTTGCCTCTCTTGGCTTTTAGAGGTCCGCGCAGTCCGAGGTCGATGCGATGCCGGCTGCGGGTCCGTTGGTGACCGCGGCCACCATGTCGGAGATGTCGGCAGTGCACAAGGCCTTCTGATCAGCGCCCACCTGACAGTCGGACACCGCCAGCGCCGTGAACTGGGAGATCCAGGCGAAGGAGGAGATGATGTTCATGATGCCGACAGCGCAGGCCTTCGGGTCCGGGCAAGAGCTGGCAGCGGAACGGATCTGGAGGATGACTCGCACAATGTAGGAGGCGGAGTTGGTCACATCCACCACACACTGCGTAATGTCGAAGCCTCGGTTGCGGTTCGCCTCCTGGTGCCCCTTGATCGCCAGGATCTTCTCCGCTTCTGGGCCGGCGCCTCCGGGGACGAACTGCGCCCACGGCGGGCTGACAGGGTCCGGGTTGGTGAGGATGGAGATGGCGTTCTTGCCAAAGTCGCAGTCGGCCTTCACGGCGGCACCCACCGTGGCGATCTCACCGAAGTTGGCCATCAAGGCCGTGAAGTCACCTGCGCAGAGGGCGCCATTGTTGACGGCCTGGCCGCAGGCGTTCGCAGCGAAGGACAGATACGAGGCAATCCAGCTGATGGAGGTGATGAAGCCGGCCACGCTGGCAGCGCAGCCCACAGGCGAGTTGTCCGGGCACTCCAGGCCATTGTAGTCGATGGCCTTGTACAGGAACACGACCGCTTGGGCCAAGTAGGCGGCTGCTTGCACTGTGTCAATCACACATTCGGTGCGGATCCATGGAAGTTCCTCCGGCACCGAATCGTAGAACAGGTCATTGAGGTTGCGCAGGGGGTGCTTCGGTTTCAAGGATTGCGCCTTGAGAATGACCTTGTCCATTCCTGGAAGCTCCTCCCAATTCTCAATCTCGTCCAAGGTCTTTGACTTGGAGAGCGGAGAGTGGGACACCTTGGCCACGACACCCACCACGGCCAGGGCCGCCACTGCCGCACCTGCGAGGTACCACTGGCGCTTGCTGCGCAAGTGAGGCCTCTCCACCAGGACCTCCTCCTCGGAAAGCACGAGTGCCATGGCGAGTGCGGAAGCGGAGGGAGAGCGGAATTCGACACTTTCGGGCAATGAGCAAAAGCGGCTTGGGGTTTAGGGTTTAGGATGGCCGTTTCCCGTACACTACGTCTACGGGGTGCCCCTGAAATCCCCCCAAAGATCATCGAATGCCCCAAGAAAGGCACTACCACTCTTCGGAAGGTGCGATATACATAGGAATTGCAGGAGCTCAGAGGCACAAGAAGGCGCGTGGACTGCACCGAAACGCTGTTTTCACCCGGACGTCGCACAGCGCTCGCGGCCGGAGCCGTGCGATCAGCGCGTCGGTCACCGCGGCATGCAGCCGGCGCAGGAGCCGCCTGGGACACAAGGCTCTGTAGGCTTGGGAGGCATGGTTGCTCGTGTAAAAAGAAGT